ACATAACTGTTGTATTCGGAGATGGTCGTTCCATTGAGAGAGAATGGAGCATCAGGAACGAGGCTGTTTCTCATAAACATTGTCTGTAGTCCGACCTTTCCACACTCACGGTCGAAGTCGGCCAGCATTTGTGCCGCTTGGCTGATGTTTGGTGTTATTAGAACAATGTCATCAGCAAAGCGGAGGTGGTGTAGTTGCCGACCATCTATCCTCACTCCTATTCCTTCCCATTCCAGTTGTCGCATGATGTTCTTGAGGGTGGCACTGAAGAGTTTCAGTGAGATGGTATCACCCTACCGAACCCCTCTCTTGACATCAATGATTACTTCTTTGTAGAATGGTGAGATCCTGGTAGTGAATCTGTAATACAGCTCACGGAGGATCCTGATGTATTGAGTTTGAATGCCCTGATTGGCTAGGGCTTCAATGACCGCTTCCGTCTAAACAGAATCAAAGGCCTTCTTTAAATCAATGAACGTTAGACAGAGCGGCATCTTGAACTCCTGAGAAACCTCAATGAACTTGGTTATCATGTGGATATGGTCGATGGTGCTGAATCCTTTTCGGAATCCGGCTTGCTCGCATGGTTGTCCTTCATCTAGTGTTCTGCCAATCCTATTCAGGATGACTCAAGTGAACAGATTGTAGATGACAGACAATCGGCAGATTGGGCGATAATAGCCAATGTCTTGTATGTCTCCCTTCTTGTACAGTATTTCAGTCCTGCTGGTTTTCCATTGGGGCAAAACCTTGCATTCAGACAGGTAGCGTGTGAATAGCCAAGCCAGTGTATTGATGAGTACTGATAGCAGATTCTTCAGGTGTTCGGGTCTGACCTTGTCTGGGCTGGGTGCTGTTAGTTTCTTTACCGATGAAATGACATGTTGGATTTCGGAAGGGAGAACATTGGAAACGACATATCCATCCTGTGGAATTTGGTATGTGGGTAGGTGGACATGGCTATCCAAGAGATCTGAGTAGAAGTCATGGATAATCTTCTCCATTGCCCTTCTGGAAGATGTGATAGATCCATCAGAACGTCGGAGGGCAGTCATCTTGGTCTAGTAGTTGGCGAAGGACATTACGAATGCTTTTCCCAGCTTCTGCTGCATCTACCAGCACTTCTGCTCTTTTCTCTTTGAGATCTTTCTTGATCGCACCTCTGCCTGCCTTGCAAGCTCTAATGTTCACTTGCAGTTGCCTGAGGCATGCACCAAACCACGTTGGCGAATAAGCTCAAGAGTTTTCAAAGACAGGCGTTTTTTTTTGTGGCTATTTTTCTCTTGGCATTCCTCACACAATCATGGAGGTGCTGAACCAGTCGATCGTATTCCTCATCAGTGTTGTCAACAATAGCATCTTCCCATGTTGTCACAATAGTGCCAAAGAGCTCCCAGTTGGTTGTCATTCTGGGAGTTCTCTTCTTAAACTTTGCAGCTCTTTCTCCCTGCTCTGTGAAGTAGAATTTTGCACGACGGAGACGGTGGTCCGATCCCATTTGGAATTAACAGCGACATCTATCAGGCAAAACGGTCGATTGAATATGATGTGGTCTATTTCGTTGTGGAATTGTCCACCAGGAGACTCCCATGTTCAACGTTTAGATTCGGCCTTCTGGAATCTTGAGTTACCATGGATGGTCTTGGTTGACATGATAAACTCAAACAGTCTCTCAACCTGTTTGTTCCATTCTAGGCCATGGGTCCCGATGTGGAGTTCTTCGGCTGATCTTTTCGGTCCAAACTTGGCTTTAAAATCACCGACAATGATCTTGTAGAAGGTGTGGTCTTCTATATAGAACTTCTCCAGCTCCATGTAGAACTTCTAAATTTCTCCTTCATCATAATTGGATGTTAGTGTGTAGACAACGAAGATAGAAACTGCTGGCAGTGAGCCACATCTATTCAAATTGCTGTTTAAAATAACATTTTTTTTGTTTTAAACAGACATCATAGTCTGTGCTTAATGATTTTAGTGATGCCCAAATTGTTATACTTTTGTCAATTTCAAGCTCTTTAATTGTTTTCTTGAACTCTTTGAACTTGCCTTAGCTGTAGAAAGTTTCCTGCTTAAACTTATGTCTTAAGTTTTTGTCTTTTGCCCCAACCACATTCTTCAGTAACACAGTTCCATTAGGTTAGAAATGATAAAGATTAAAGACAATAGGACACTAAGTATACTTATTGCCTATAAATCAGTGATTATATTCATTATACAAACTGAATCATGAACTTGTGCTACTAGTTGTTCAGGAATATGAGTTCACCCTAATATAAATGGCTCATGGATATCTTTAAATGATGAGATGTTTAAGACCAGAAATTTTTAAATTTTATTTAACGTATACAATTTTTATTTTATTTACATCATTTGCTATGAAATTCAGTCTTCTTAGCACCAGGGGTGACAATTATGATGCCAAGTAGATATTTATGAGCTTTTCTTACAATAGATAATCAATGATCTCAGAATTGCAGCACTAAAACTATTATCAGCAACATATGTCTTAAAATAAATTTTAAAGCTTTTGCCCCTCTGGAATTTTTCTTAAATATTTCACTAGGAGGTATAGTCATGGCATTGTCATCTCTATGGTATGAAAGTTGTGAGATGGGTTTGGGGGTGGAAAGGCTACTGGGATCATTGATGGTGGAGAATGGGCACTGGTGGAGGGATGGGTACTCAATCATTGTATAACTGAAACCCAAGCACAAAAGTGTATGAGTCTACAACTGTACCTCAAGCTGTTTCACTAATAATAAAAAAAAGTAGAAAGAAGAGAAGAGAAAAAAATAAAGTTGGAAGCAAAAAGCAAACATTATGTGGTAATGAAAACAGATTGAAGTTCTACTGCTGTGAGCTAAGGAAAGCCAAAGTTTATTGGTAACTTCCAGAGTAGTGATGAGGTGAGTGATATCCTGTTGTAGGATTCAGAGGCAGCATACTCTGCGGTGGGGCTCAGGGTATCATATGGGATGTCAGGAATGGAGCCAACTGGGTCATGTGTAAGGCAAGTGTCCTACCCACTGTACAATGGCTCCAGTCCTCTGCTGAGAACTTAATCTCAATATCTAATCTTCAGAAATATGACAAAACAAATTCTTTATTGTTTTAAACCACAGAGTTTGTGGTACCTTTTCCCCATAATCCCAGAAAACAAACACATTCCTTCAGACTATTTAACCAGTTTTCACAATCAGATAAAAATCAAGTTTTTATAATAAATCCATGTTTCATGTATGTCCATATTTATTTATTATCTTCTATGAATCTATTTGTATGGTCATACATAGAAACATTAGGATATATTTAGGATATATTGACATTAGGGCATTTGCCTTGGATGCTGCCGGCCCCGTTGACCTGGGTTCGATTCCTCCGCCCCTCTTGCAGAGCCCAGCAAGCTACTGAGAGTATCTCGCCTGCACAGCAAAGCCTGGCAAGTTCCCCGTGACGTATTTGATATACCAAACACAGTAACAATAAGTCTCAAAATGGAGACATTACTGGACCCGCTTGAGCAAATTGATGAACAATGGGAGGACATTGACATCTACCCAGAATCTCATTAATGTAAAACGTGTACTCTATAACCGAGTCATCTATATATTTTTTAGAAAGTTTGGTATCTAGGGTAAAAATCAAAATGGTATTCTGGAGACCTTACACTAAATAGAAAACTCAGTTTTTCGGAGCATTTATCTTACAGCACATCTATTCCACCTGCCTTCCAAATTCTATATTGTTCTATAAAATTATTTTATATCTGCACACAACGGGATGTCCTCAAGAAGATTTATGATAAAATATTAATGAATACCATACTTGCCATTTTCTCCTTAATAATAAAATTTTATTGTTAAATTCATGGGCTCACCAAGCCTGCCCGGAGGGGGAAGGGCGTTGACCAGCCCGCCCGCTCCTCTCTGGAAAGAAAGATGGCGGCCGCACGGTAGCCTTGTGGAAAGCAGGTTTGAGCCGGGCTCGGGGGAGTGGCGGGGACCTCATGGGAAGGGGGGCTTTGTGGGCCGTCCCCCACGCCCCACCGAGGTCGCCAGCTGCCCCCCACGAGCGGCTCTCCGGCACGGCCACGGCCCCGGAGGCACAAGGACTTAGCACAGAGAACCAGCCGCTTGGAGCAGAAAAGCAAATGGACTTGTGTTGATCCGCGCCACCAAGCCTGCCCGGAGGGGGAAGGGCGTTGACCAGCCCGCCCGCTCCTCTCTGGAAAGAAAGATGGCGGCCGCACGGGAGCCTTGTGGAAAGCAGGTTTGAGCCGGGCTCGGGGGAGCGGCGGGGACCTCATGGGAAGGGGGGCTTTGTGGGCCGTCTCCCATTCCCCACCGAGGTCGCCAGCTGCCCCCCACGAGCGGCTCTCCAGCACGGCCACGACTCCAGGGCACAGAAACCAATCTCTTAACTAGCTAACTTTTAATAGAAATTCTTCCAGGGTCAATAAGTAAAATAGTAGAAATTCAAAACCGCGCGGCCGCTATTGCGGCCGCGCGACATCATTCTATTCTTAAACCAAGTTGTAGAAAGCAAATCATTTCACAACGCTGTTTCAGCATGTCTGATTGTGGGGGGTGGGTGGTAAACTCTAAACAATAATTGTGCATCTTCTATCGAAATAATCTATCTAGTCAAAGTAGATAGAGTATTAACTAGAACTCATCTGCCTCACAAGAATTGGGAGGGGTGGGAGGTGGGGGTCTATTGGGGTTCGGGGTTAAAAATGAGTATTGGTAAAGGGAAATGTGTTCGGTATCTACATGACTGAGACCTAAACCCGAAAGCTCTGTAACTTTTCCCACAGTGATTCAATAAATAAATAAATTATAAAAAAAAAATAAATTCATGGGCTCGTTGACATACTGCAAAATCAGTTCAGCTACTACAATGTTTTCATTATTTTTATATGTGGACTTCTCTTTTTTTTTTTTGACCCCAAAGTAAAAGAGTTAGAAAACAAAGTATTTTTTCCCCACACATTCACTTACCTCTGTTTACCTTTATGTTCTATAGATCCAGCAGAAAGTCTGTCCAGGGGTGAACCAAAACCAGAAAAGCTCCTTTTCTTCTTTGTTTCAATCACGTCATTTTCCAGAGACACAAGTTCATCAAGAAGCAAGAGTTTTGCTGCCAGATCAGTGGCTGATTTCTCTTCACTGACTGTGGGTGGTGACTGAACATCTGTGACTCCAGAATTAAAGGCCTTTTGGGAAGGAAAGTCCATTTCATTCATCAAAAAATAACAAACTTGGAAACCTCAAGTTTTTACAATTGTCTGCATTTGACTTTTGCTACCTTAATTTGAGTTGTTTGTCATGAAACTTGATCTTTTGTGCTCCAAGAGAGAATGAGCTTTAGGGGCCAAAGAGACACAGGTGAAATACATCAAAAATAAGTTAAAATAAAACGAAATATGCACATGCGTATATGTACACAAGCATACACACAGAGGATGTCCACACTCCAGATCTGGCACTAAAATAAAACATAAAAATTAAAGATTCTTTCAGATCCTATCCTAGCAAAAACTGCTCCTTTCCTTTTTCTTTATCATAATTCTTTCATCATTGCATTCATCACATATTCCTTCCATCAATAGGCTACCAATATATTTATAATTTGCTGATTATTATAAATGATCATTATATTTCTATTATCAGTATTTGGTTTCTATTATCATGATCAGTATATTTAAATTATTATAGTTATTAAAGATATGATAGTTTATTTATTATTACTGCTGCTTTTAGATTGTACCTTGAGAGGATACCTGTCTAATATTTTATTTACTCTATGTGATGCCTAGCCCAGTATTTTTTTCTCATAGTAATTAATACATTTCTAATACAAAATTGGGCTGGAGTGATAGCACAGCGGGTAGGGCATTTGCCTTCCATGCGGCCAACCTGACAAAATCATTAGATTCTGACAATAAAAAAGATTAAACATCATGCCATTTTACTTTTATGTGCACTTGTTGTTTACTGAATCACAACAGTAGGTTTCCATTGTGCATCAGGTTCTACATGAGACATAAAGAATCAATGACAACTAAAATATAGTGTTTGCTCTCAGGGCATTTTTTTCTTCACTCATGTAATTTATTAGCAAATATTAATGAGTTTCTACAGTAAAAACTATCCCAATGATTTTATTCTTTGATTTAAAAGGTTTTTCTTTGGGGCCAGAATTATAGCATAGCGGGTAGGGTGTTTGCCTTGCACACGGCTGGCCTGTGTTAGATCCCCAGCATCCCATATGGTCCCCCAAGCACCACCAGAAGTAATTTCTGACTGCAGAGCCAGGAATAACCCCTGAGAATTGCTGGGTGTGACCCAAAAAGCAAAAATAAAAAAGTTCTTTTTTTGTTACTTGTTTGTCATCTATGTTTCCAATTTGCAGTTCATTCAAGTCATAAAAGGTGGGTATCTACATGGCTTGCTCCTTTCTTGGGTACCATTGTAACATTTTTCAAATGGTGGGGCCAGAGAGATAGTACATGGACACCAGTTCTAAAGTGTGTGCCTTAAAGGTGACTGAGCCAGCTCCAAGCTCCATCTCTACATGATATTCCAAACATCGCGGAGTGTTAACCCGAGTGCCACCAGATGGCCCTGGGTAATCCCCAGCACAGCATCCTCTCTGCCTTCCCTTTGAACCTCAGGTCTTGTGGGCTGAGTATCCAAACACCCCCTTGGCACCCAACCCTCCGTCCCATTAGGAAAGAAAAATGCTCTTAGTAAATTTTTGTTGGTCCTTCAGGAGATACTACTTTTGCAAGAGCCTGAGAATATTCTCCCAAGTGACAAATGTTAGTTCTTAGAATTTCTTCCCTCTCTCCCTTGAATCACATGCCCCCCATGTTCTTATCTTAGCTAGTCTCTTTCTTCATGTCCTTTCTTTTTTCCTCAATGCTTTTACTTCATCCTATTTATGTCCTTATTTTATTCTAGTAGAACAAAATAATGGCATTCTCCAAAACTTTTTTTTTTTATTATTGAGTGAAATACTTTTAGTCTGATACATAACCTCAAAGTGGTGGACTCTTCTTTTTCCTAAAACTGTCAAGTTGATTTACATCTGTGCTTCCTGGAAAATCTTTTGCCCCATTCTTTTGAAATTCCCATAAATAATGGTTTATGTAAAGTCCTCTGTACTGCTTGGTGTACATAATTATTTATTTATTTTTTAAAATGAGGACCACAGGGATGGGAGAGACAGTATAGTGGGTAAGGTGCTATTTATTTGATTTTGTGTTGTCACCATTTCTCCCTATTTATCATCTGCTCTTAATACTGACACTTGTAGAAATGACTTATGCTCATTGGTCAGGGGTCAAATAAATAGTCCAGAGGTTTAAGGGCACTTTCATGTACATGTTGGACCCAGGTTCTCTCGCACTCTATATGGCTCCCCAACCCCCTCCAGAAATGATTGGAACCGAGAGCAGAGCAAGAAAGAAGTCTCGGGCACTGTGGATTCCCCCCAAAAAAGCACCCCCCCGAAAAAAACAGTCATTCCCTTAAGCTAGTTCTCATTACCTCTGTCGTTATATCCATGGAGAGGACTTTTCCTGAGCTCCACACTATCAGTGTCACAGCCAGGATGAAATGTGCATTGGCCAATCTCCAGTCCATCATCTAAGGGGAATACATGTAGGGTTAACATTTGGCACAATTAGTTTGAGCATACAAACACTGAAAACAATAAAAGCTTCTACAAAGCTAATTAGAGGAAAATGACTAAATCATCCAGCTTCCGGAGTGCATCTCTGCTCAACTTCTATAATATGTAATAGAAGTTACCCACGTCCCCAAATGAATTCTGTTGGTGAATCATTTCCATGAATTTGTGTGTTTATAGGTTGGAGTTGTAGATAAAGGTTCTGTGGCTGTAATCATAATATAATTCCAAGTAACACAGATCTGAGAAATCTAGTTTGTGTAAGTTTATTTATTTTCTAACCTGGGGATATAATATCATGAACCTAAAGGAAAATGTATGAAGTTGCTCAGGTTAGGAGAGAACTTGAGGGTTCTTTGGTGAACCAGAGAAAATAGACCTTATCTAAAAACATCTAAAATTTCAAAATTAATCACAGATTTAAAGCAAGTAGTTCTATGACCTTGTGTTATTATATACGGATTCATTTTATGTTTTCTTTTTAAGATAAGCTTCCTGAATGCTTGGAAGTCTCTTAGATACAGGTTTTACAGTTAAGCACTTGGATCCAGCCATGTAGCACTAGGAGCTGCCAGGACCACCAGGGCCGTTTTGTCCAGCAGTGCTAGGAAGGCAAGATGGTGCACGCTGTGCTAGGGATCAAACTCAAGACCCTGTGCATGCACTCCATACCTTTGTCCTGTCTCTCAGGGTTAAGGGTCTGACAGACTTTTAACATTTTCAAATAAAAAGTTTCTGTTTAATGTAGAACATACTAAAATATTAAAAAATGGAATATCTTTGACTTTCACAAAATAATTGCTTTAGAATAGTTAAGTTACTGTAATAATAAAATTTAAAATAATGAAGACAAGAGTAAAAATGAGCTGTAGTTATGAATGACATTTCATAGAACCGATATTAAACTGACAACTGTGCATGCAACCTATTTAATGAAAATAAAGATAAATACACCACCTTGAATATGTACATTTGGAAAAAAAACTTGCAATTAACATCGTGTTAGAATGATGTCATAGACAGAAAACATATGATACTGAGTAGAGTTGGAAGTGGACCCATATTCTGAAAGGTTAAAATAAAAACATCTTACTTTTTTTAAAATAAGGAGACAGCATCTGAATAATTTTAAATCATTCATAATTTCATTGTTTATCAGTTGAAATATATTTCTACTATGAATATAAAAGTAAATTATTTAAATATATGTGGTGCATATTTATATGTATAGATTTCAAAGAAATGTTATGGGTTAGATAAGGAGAACTTGCAGAACAATACATATGGCACAGCACCAATTATCTAAATCAAAAATACACAAAGCAATTCCATGTACTTTGAAAATTATGCATTTAAATGACTATGAACAAATGGAACTTAATTCATGACTAAGATTGCCTATGGAGAAGGAAAAAGGAAAATAAGATTATAGAGAAAATCAAATAGACTCAATTTTTATTTTAAAATTTAAAGCAAACATATAAAATTACATTTATCAATAAAATGTGTCATTTTTATATTTATAATATAGTAATATGATACAATGGAAAAATACTAAGAATTGAACAGTTACCAGCAAAATTCATAGATTAATATTGCCCTTCCTTTCCCTCCCCTCCCTTCCCCTTTCCTTCCTCTCTTGTCCCCTCCCCTCCCCTTCCCCTCCCTTCCCTTTCACTTCCTTCCTCTTTTCCCCTTCCCTTCCCTTCTTTGCAGCATCTGACAGTGTTAAGTGATTACTTCTGGCTCTGTGCTTAGGGATCATTTCTGAAAGAGCACAGGTTGAGCATAGGTCGAACCCTTTGATTCTAGGATTCCTTCTGTCCCAGGGTCTGCATCCATTGCTGGGGATTGAATTGAGGTCAATTGCATGCAGTGCAAATGTCTTAACCCCTGTACTACCTCTCTGGTACACATTGTCTTTTTTTAAAAATTTTTATTAGTGAGACACCATAAGGTACAGTTGTAGACTTACAAATTTTGTGCCTAGGTTTCAATTATACAATGATCAAATACCCATCCCTCTACCAGTGCCCATTTCCCACCACTACGGATCCCACTATCCCTCCCACCCCTCATCCCCTCCATCCCACCCTGCCTCTGTACACATTGTCTTTTCTTTAGAAATACAGCCACTGATACACGTTTATTTTCTTCTAATTTTGCTGTTGCTTCTGATTTTCAACATGATAGAGGATATATTAAGAAAATGTATTTTTGAGTCATCATATTTCTAGCATATCTTTTTATAAAAATAGCCCTATCATTCAATCAAAGGTAAACTACAATTGTGGTGTTTTTCTTTCTTATTTTTATCACATTCAAAACAGTTTACAAAATGTGAAATTGTCCAATTTATAGATCTTTCCATCTGGATTTCCCTTAGTTATTTTTATGCACATTTTACTAACCAGGTTTCTCTTCATCTCTGCAGTCTCATAAACGAAACAGGATGATGGGCGTTTAAAATATTGATGATTATGTCTGAGACATGTATTTTTGTGCTTGGGTGTATATAGGAAAAAGTCATAATGTATCATCTTACAGATAACCACATCCTGAATATTTGGATTAAGGAGATGTAAAAATAAATGCTGAGTTTAAATACACATGTTTAATGGTTGAAAGCCATGCTTGTAGTCAGTTAACTAAAAGGCCAAGTTCCTAAATCTGGCATTTGGTACACTAATGAAAACAAACACTCTGGCACCTGCTACACAAAAGACATTTGATTAACTAGTTGAAACTTGATTGCTACAAAATTAGAAACAGAGGAAACTATAGGGAGGGAAGGAAAAGACTGGGTTCAGCTCCATTTCCCTATTTTGTTGATAGTGGATAAATATAGCCTGTGATTTAAATCTGCTCTGCCCCATGTATATTCTAGATCACAGAAGGAACACTAAGGCTGATCCTCGTATGAAAAGACCAAAAGAAGATTTGTCATTTTTTTGTTTATTAATAATTTTTAGGGCTGGAGCGATAGCACAGCGGGTTGAGTGTTTGCCTTGCACATGGCCGATCCGGGTTCGATTTCTCCGCCCCTCTGGGTGAGCCCAGCAAACTACCGAGAGAGAGAATATCACCCCCACGGCAAAGCCTGGCAAGCTACCCATGACGTATTTGATATGCCAAACACAGTAACAACAAGTTCTCACAATTTGTTATGAGATGTTACTGGTGCCCGCTCAAGCAATTCGATGAGTAATGGGAGGACAGTGCAGTGCTACAGTGCATTGATAATTTTTACTGGATGATGTTTGAGTAACACTTCTCTGGAGAGCGAAAAACTTCAAGAGACAGAGGTCATAAAATTTGCCTCATAAAAACATTTGGGCTACTCTTCATTCCTTTTGATTTTGAGCCAAATTCAACAATATCCCAGGCTTACTCCTGGCTTTGCACGAGGGATCATTCCTGAAAGTGCTTGGGGTACCATATGAGGTATCAGGGATCAAACCTCATATGTTGCAAACTCCCTGTCCACTGTACTATCTCTCCAGTACCCTTTTAACTCATTTTTATCCCCCTGATATGTATGTATGTGTGTCTGTTTATATTTTTACTTGTAACATACTACATCACGTATAATGTGATCTCTTAATCTTTGTTTCTAAGACATTTCACATGTAAGTCTTCACTATACCTTGAAAGAGTACATCTTCCAAATTCTAACTGAAGTGGTAGAAGAAGGTCTGTATGAAATTTTTCATTTGTTTGTGATATAATATATTTAGAATACTGAATGCACGTCCAGGGATATGGTGGTCTTACCTTATATGTGTGAGACTGTGGGTTAGATTCTTGACAAAACACACACACACACACACACACACCCCTTCCAAACAAATAAATAAAAACAAAACCAAATTTATAGAACACTAAGAGTACATAGTGACATATATAAACATTTATTTAGTAGTAAAGAAACTGGGTTAATATTTAGACTATCTGCTGGGATAGAGGATAAACTACTTAGGGGATTCTATTAATCTTTCTCTTAACTGACACTAGTAGGACTAACCATTACAAATTCACAAAATCACTAGTTGAGCTCCATCTTGATAGCTTTGGAAACTATTTATTTGTCCTGATTTCTTGATAGGAAATACTCAAAACACAGTCTATCCTTCCCTACTTCTCAACAAAAGCCTAAAAGATAGAATTTTCATTAAAGGATTTATTTAAAATACACAATTTGTAAACTAGTTTGATTTTTATATTTTGCACTTTATTCCCACTTCTACAGTGCACAGATATGCTAATGAAATTTAATAGAGCATGTTGTAAGTGATATGTTTGAAATCATTCGAGGTGCCAACCAATAATGCTGTTCACAGTTTTCTTTCTGGAAAACCAGGTAAGCAATGAACTAAATTATCTTTATTTATACTACTCCACAACTTATTTACATATGCATTTTTGATAATAGAGAAAACTTTCAGGAATAGGAGATAATAGAATGACTAACAGAATGTTTTTATGTTAAAAGACGTCCTAAAGGGATAACATTTAATACAAAAGCCCAAATGACTTAATATAAGAGAGACCTGATTCAGAAATTAGATCAAATAATTAGGAGTTTGTCTAATCTGATCCCTAATCTTTATGGTAATTCATTATAAGGGTGTTGGTGAACCTGTCTGTTTGGGTGGAAATGCAATTCAGGTAGAAATGTAGATAGTGTTAATAGCTATATGTGTAGCTACAAAAGTGTTTCTTGGGTCACTTAGAGGAGTCCATGTAGAAAACTAATCACATCTAGTTTGTAAACTAAATGTGCTTTACTTGAGACTTAAATATTTTAACTAAAAAGATAAATCTTCTGAGTTTTAATTTTAAGATGTTTTTTATGATAAGAGATTCCATTTTTAAAATGAATTTTAAGAAACAAAGTGCAGCCAATTAAATTATGGCATGCTTTCAGGCTCTAAACTGCAGGACTGACTTTAATCTC